GCCTTTTTGCTATTTTTGGTTGGTGCATCAACTTAGGGTTCATTTTGAACATGTCATGGTGTTTACTTTGACCTAGTTTTTAGGCATGTTTCTTTGAGTGTTTGTTTTGATGAATACATGTTTATGTGTGGTTTGAAAGGTATGTTTAGCTTCTAATTTCATGTTTCCAAAGTGTTCTTGATGGCCCATTTGATCATTCATGTGTGTCTTAGTTTATTTCAGTCCTTCCCTGAATGTTGTTGTTTGTTTCTTGCCTATAGTTTTGTGCATGTCTTGATGTGATTCTTGTTTATGTTTCTATTGACATCTTGATGTTGAATAAGGGTTTTACATGATCTGTATGCTACTGCCTATGTGGCTCTTAAGTTGTAACTTCCATAGTTGAACCATCCTTTGCTTTTATCTTTGTATGGTTTAGTTTGTAGCTAGTATGCTTGTTATTTTGGTGTGTTTTTGATATGTTTGTGACTTTTTCCCAATCATTTGAGTATGTTGAACATAAACCTGATGTAACTACTGCCCTTCTTAATTTTTTATTTGATTTCTTTGGCCTTGTTACCTTGATTGTCACCATCCTTACTTTGAAGCTTAACATTTAAAGACTTGTTGTTACAAGTTGTATGTCCTTTATTCCTAAGGAAGGTTTCCCTCTTTGACTTGTAAGTCACATTTTAGGTTAGTTTAGACCATTCCTTACTCACTTAGTGACCTTGTTAGAGTCATATCTTGGCCTAGCTAGAGCCCCTCTTCTTAACCTAGTTATAGGTTTAGGGTTTGTTAACCCTGTTTAAGTGTCATTGTCATGAGTACTTATCCCCCTCCTTTTGGTCTTGTTAGAACCAATTGGTCTTGAAACTTAGAATTAAGTTTAGAATTTTTTAACTCTATGTGTGTACTATTGTCATCTGTGTTCACTTTCCTTTGACTTTTGTTAAGGTCAACCCCTTCAGTTAGGTCTTTCAACTTAGACTTAAAGAGTTTGTCAACTCTGCATGAGTGTCATGGTTATGAACACTTACTCCCCTTGGAACCTTGGTCGTTATCAAGAGTTCATCATCTCTAGTTAGGTGAACTACGAATGCTCTTATTCCGTCCTAGTTAGGATACGTAGGCACGAGATGTGATGTCTTGACGAGCATACTTTGTATATACCCTAGGTTTTTTTTTACCTTAGTTCATTTTCTTTAGCAAGCAAACTTTAGCATAACACAAATACAAACAAGAGGTTCCTGTAGAGTACTACAAATACTTAGGATGCTAGCACCTTCCTTAGGTATAACCAACCCCCGAACCTTAGATATCTAGCTTTGTTGTTACATAGCGTACTTAGGATTTTCTTCGATCTTTACATTTTCTTTAGATAAATCAAAGTTCGGTGGTGAATTTCATATATTTGTGATGCAAGTTAATTAATAGCTTGATATCCAATTCCTACCGCAACAACAATATGATTGTGTGATTTGTGTGATAACTACTTGATCAGTCATGTTATCAAAAGGAAAACACATAACAAAGAATTAGAAATCACAAAACTAATTCAGCAATGCACTAAACAATTTGAAAAATACCAACAATGTCCCTAATTAGAAAAAGATTGGAAAAATAAAAAACCGAATAAAATAAAATCTAAAAATTATGAAAATATAACTAAAAATCAAATAAAATTAGAATGAATCAATAAAAAAAATTGGATTTTTTTGAAAATATGAAAATAGAAAATAAATCAAATAAAATAGAAAAATAATGAATTTGCGATTTTTATGGTCAAAATCTTTTAGAATTATATTCTAAGTGTGTATTGTTCAACGATTTTTTTCTGATTTTTTAAAAAACAATTCAGAGCAAATCGAAATAATAACTTCCAAACTCACCTGATAGGCTGAAACGCTTACCACTGCAATGTAACTCTGAAAATTAACACACAATAATAAAAAACAAAAAACTCTAACAAAACTCTAAAATTAAAATTCTAAAATTGGCTAAAATTAACAAGAATCCCCGGTAACGGCGCCAATTTGATCCGCTGTCGCATGCGGATAAAAAACGAGTAATTTGAAAAATGTAGTAAAGCGACAGTAACTCGGATGTCGATTTACAAGGATTCTTGTTTATAAAATAACCAATTAAAGAAAAGGTTTATGGGGGGTTGTTTTGATTTATGATTCGATTAAGAAAATAAATAGTAAAATAAGTGATTTTTAAAATAAGTGATTAAAACAAGTTAATCTACCGGTTCAACTCCCAACTTATCATCGGTCATTACAATTCTAATTCCCTAAGCGGTTTCAATCCCTATTCGATTGCAATATTGACAAACAAGAATCGACAATACCACACGACTTATATTCCTAATTACCGAATTAAGCAGACGGTTAAAGATGGCGCAAATTAACGAAAAAGCTAAGTTAATCCGCGATTAAGTTAAGGAACATCGATCAATTGAATTAAATCCAATTTATTTTATAAGAACGAATTAAACAAACGAAAATTATAAAATAAATTGGAACGGAATTAAATTAAATCGGAATTATAATAGACCTCAAAGGATTACGGGATTCGAAAGCAGCCGATTTTCGCTCATAATTAGTTCACCATGGAAAACATGAAAAGAAAAAGAAATTTTGTAAAAACTAGGGTAGTCGTCACTGTAGCACGACAACAACCTTATAAACAGAATAAGTTTTGCATTACACACTCAATTGGGTCGGAAACATAAACCAGGCTCAATAGGGCAAAACAACTAAATTATTACAGTCAGAAACTTCAACGAATTATTCGAGACTCAAGCAATCCGAATCAGCTTCTTCGTGCGACATGAAAGTTGTAGATCTTTTCCTTAGCTTTCCAACAACTGATATAACGCCTCGATCCGATTCTTGTAGCTCTAGTTATGAATTTTTTATTAAAAGTTGCTAATGCGGAAAATAACAAACGAAAATCAAATAAGGCTGAAAATAAATTGAATTGTAAAAACATCATAAAATAGTAAATTAAACAAACTAAACTATAGAAATGCTTAAGCCTAAACATAGAGGAAGATGCATCAAAATGCACTGATTACTACTCCTTAGCATGTGATTTTTATCATGTATTATTGAATGTAATTCTCACTCCTTTTCTGTTGTTTTGTTTGTTCTCCTTGAGGAGTACAAATCATCAGGTACTTGAGTAGTGCTTGGAGCATGTGTTGCTATTGTTCGAGTCTTAAGAGTCGCTCTGATACGTAACACAGGAAAGATGAGGATTTCATTATTTTCTTCTTGTTATTTGTTACGTATTGTTTTGATTAATGTTGTTGAACCGCATATTTTGTGGAAATTTGGTGTATTAGAGCTTTAATGCTGAACCATTTGATTTGGTTCTGCTGTTTAATCAGTTAACTTATTTTTATAAGGAAATAAATTATGAAGTGAGTTGATATTTCATGATGATGTTTCTATTAATGTGACATCTTATGTGTGCAACTCTAATTAATTTCCGCAAACTATTTTCGTATTTTTACTTATTATGCAAATGGATGGAGTAGAGTGTTACATAATACACCTTTACACCAACATGCAATACTTTTAAATTTTAAGGGTACGTTTGGATCGATGAAATGAAATGAAATAGTATAAACTTAAATTTTATTATTTAGATTGATTAAAAAATGATGGAATGAAGCATAATCAAATGGAATGAGATGATTCCATTATTTTTTGTATCATTTAATTTGATTGAAATGACAAAATTTTCATATTCTATCATAAAATATCAAAACAATTGAACGACATATTTATTTCATTATGCTATCATCTTTCCGTTTTGTTAATTTTATAATATCTAAATATAATTTAAATATATTTGTTAAATTCTATTTTAAAATTTCAAAAAATTTAACGTATTCTTGCCGGACAACTGGCGCCCGTATCCGTGTTAGGTACCAGTCCTCCATTTTCTCCGATAATTTGAAGCACATTGTATTGTGCTTGAACCCTAGGATTTCGGATATCACTTTTCAACATTACCTTTTGCTTCATCTTTGGAATATTGCTTTTCTTTGTACATTGCCACAATGCCGCTATCTCCCCAACTCCTTAAACCCTAATTTACCAATTACCAGCGACAAGCTTCGATCCCACACACATCCTGATCGCTCCGTTCATTACCCTCACCTCATTCCTGCCGGCGATGATGCACTCGTCATTGTCAAGTATTGGAATGTCGCTGAAGAGACTCCGATACTAGAATTTCAAGGTCATTTACGTTAAGTGTGGTGTTTCCCTTTCCTGGTTCCTATGATTATCTCATAAGCTTTGGGATGTTAGGATTACGGATTCTTCCAAATCAGCGATGGATTTTAAACATGGTTGCCCTGGGAATTCTGATGATTGACGGCCGGTGAGAATTCTGTTAAGCTCCGGGACTTACTCTGTGGCGGGAGGCTTCTGGTTTGTTAATCGGATAATGTTATATATTGCTTGTACGACTTAGTAGCTGAATTTGAGAAAAGCTTTTATACTTTTCTTCAAATGCTATTTTTTAAGACATGGCACATGAAAGGTGAGCATAGGATATTAAGCTAACTGTTATTTTAAGTTGTTCAAAGCTGAATGTGCAGGATAATTCTGTTACACTTTTGAAATATAATATCAACACTCTTTCGCTTTTATGTCTAATCAGGTATTTTATCTCAAAGTTGTAAAAATGTGCTCAAACTTGCTGGATTATACATTGAAGTGAAGGTATCACTTGCCTTTCTTATCTTGCTTTAAATGATTTTCATTCCAGATACCACATGCTCACATTAGCGCTTGTTTATTTACATGTGGGGTTTAAAATTGAAGTAGATACTATTAAAGACTTTGAGCGTCATCGTATTGCTTAAACTGGTATTTGCCTCGATTAATCCATTTGATTCCATTTATTATCTATAAATATATAAGTAAATGATATCAATGTGCATCAATACTGTGCTTGGTCACACTGATCCCTTCTCCTTTTACAACTTTACAAAGTGTTCACTTTTCAGCTTCTTTTGGACATGCTTGTGCTATTTTTCTAAGGTTTTCAATGATCATAACAAGTTTCGTGTTAAATCTATTGACAAAGCACTTTGGCAGCCACCCTGCAGGATCTAACTGAAAAATTAAACAAGAAGCATAGTCAGGATGTCTTCTTTTTTTGTTGTATATATATTTATATCTGAATCATATTGATTAATTACCTGAACAACATAAGTAACAGCACATGAGTTATCTTGAAGCTTCTCCACTACCCATCCTGATTGTAGCAATAATCCTCTGATTGCATTATTTTGCTTTGGATGTAACCCAGCAGCTATTTCCTTCGGCAGTGAAGCAACTGCTACAACCTACAAAAGTACCCAGGTAACGTTATTTTGTTCGGTCATTTCATTTGAAGGACAAAAATGAATTAATAAGGTTTTGGTTTTCAATATTATTCACACTAACTAACTAACTAACCACAGTGCCATCTTCCATGGTTTCACGTCGCTCGTAGACAATGAACTCTCTATTCCTGAAGAGAGGCTTTGAGTTATCTCCAAACCTCAGACGAATTATGCTTAGATTCTCTTCAATTTCTTTTATGTACTTTGCTTCCACCAAATCAGAGTCCCATTGCTAGAAGTTCACAATTCACAACATAAGAAAAACGGAAGAGAATGGAAAGCATTTTATGTTTGTTGTTTCATTACATTACATGAGAGGAAAATGGTATTCAGTACCTTTGCCGCGTCAATGGCATTAGCCACTGTGATGAACTGTTGCGGAGAGACGGATCTAAGTACCCAACGGCTACGAAAAGTGTGAAAAGAACCCGACATGCGTTTTGATATCTCAACTCCATTGTCAAGAGTGATCACTTTCCATCCATCATTGTTGCCATTGTTTCCTCTATTTGTGTCGGAAGCGGCTAACAACTCTTGTATGCAGCTTTCACTTGCAAACTGCACATACCTTCTAAGAGAGTCTTCACTAATTGACCTTTAGTACAATTCACCATCATCATTAGTACACTAATCAAACAGTGTTAACAATTATGAACAATCCATTAATCAAACATGTTGGTAATTAATTTGGAATACTCACCAGGATCGGCTGCAAGGTACAGTTCTTCTGCTCATTGCAACTTGTATTGATTTGTTTTCTTTATGGCATTAAGGTTTAAAACTATTAGTAAATGAAAGACATATATATACACAAAAAGTGGCAATGTCATGTGATGATGCTCAGTTTAAAAGAGAAGAGAGAAAAAACAAAAGAAAAATGAAGTGGGAATAGGTGATTGCTGCACATGCAATGCCAGAAGAACCTTACATGATTAGAACAACAATAGGCCTCTCTCTCTTAAGATAAAATTAAAGATAGATAGATACTTTTATTCCAGCCAGAAAAGCAGTGAGATAAAGGGTTGAAAATTTCATGCACATGGAGTGTTGGAGGACAAAAATAAAAGAAATTAGCAATGTTTGTAGAGAGAATAAAATTAGAGGTCCAACTACCAATATGTATAATTAGGCCAAAAGCTTGGAATTTCAACTGCCTCAAGTATGCCTAAAGTTGATTTTGAAGTGTATAAAAAAGTGTGACATATTCTTGTTTAATATTGGTATCTAAAAATGGGAAGTGGTTTAGAATGTGAGGTCCCAGTCACGTGGCATGGTAACAGCATGGCAAGAAGAACTGGTCCCTATGTTGATTGAGATTGTCCTTAACGTAACGTTAGGTTTCTAGTACCAAGGACTAACTTCCCATTCTATTTCATCATTATACATATACAATGTACTGTATTTTTATACATTCTTGAGCATTTTATTTATTATGTAACTGATAATAATTATACTACATACATGTTGTGATCAGACTTGTGTAGAATTTCACATGGTGGAAGTACGTGGGTTATGGAGTGCTAGTTGTTATTATTGTTTTGGAAGTATGTAAATTACTTTCAAAATGATTGCTACAAGTATGATGATGACGGCAAGGAATTTTATCAAACCATCTAAATTTAGTATAGTTACATTCATTATTACTTTCAATTTTATTAATTTTAAATTAAATAAATAAAGTTCTAGTAATCATTAGTTCTTTTCAAATGAAAAACTGGTTTGCTTTTTCAAGAAATTGTTATGGAAAACATATTTTTATATGGATTTTTAGATGTTGAAATAATAATATTTTGAATTTTTTTCAACAATGTTATTCTTACAAATCCACAATATTATCATAAAATAGTATTATGAATTGTGATATGCGCGTCAACCTAAACAATGATATTAATAGTAAATAATGTTGATTAATTGGATGGTGAAGTTGGTTAATAAATATTCAAATATTAAAAATAATTTATAGAAAAAAATCAAAGTAAAAGTAAAAATTATTGATGAAGTTAATTTATAAATGTTTAAATATTAAAAATAATTTTTAATAAAAAATAATTAGTTAATAAAACTATGAAATATTAAAAATAATTTTTAATAATAAAATAAAATTGATTAATCACACATTATTTTTAATCTAAAACAAAAAGAAATAATCTATATATATATATATATATATATATATATATATATATATATATATATATATATATATATATATATATATATATATATATATATATATATATATATATATATATATATATATATATATATATATATATATATATAAAATAACATTTATTATTATAATATTTTACTATCAGCGAATGTATAGTATAAAACTTGACGTAATAGTATCATTTATCAAAAGAATTTAGACTCCTTAGTGCATCTCTTTTAAAGTCTAAAGTCTGCTCAAACAACTTTTCATATAAGCATATTGTGAGAATAATCTTTGCCTTTATTTGGTTCTTGTGATCTTTTACCTAATATCCAATTTAATAGTGAGTTCCCTTAAACCTATTTTTAATAAACAAAAAACAATAGATGATTATTTATTTATTTTGGTCTGTCTATTAGTCGACCAATAAAAGTACAGATGTACAATAATAGTAGCACTTAAATCTGAACAATTATTTTTTATAAAATATTAGTAATAACAGCATATTGAAAATTCAACTTGCATGATTTTATATATATTTGGACTTCCAGGTGTCCTGCTACCGACATGACACACATTTTGCTTAGAATTTTGTTTGAAAAAGTATTTATGATAAAGCATATCATAGGATTTCTTTTCACCAACCCAATCATTTCCATATACACATCCAACAAAGTAAAAACAGAAAGAAAGGAGGAGAAGGTGAAGAATTCAAAGTTTAATTATTCCTATAGCAATGGGAGGTGTTAAGGATAACTCTCATTAATCAACATGATCCACCTAGGGATGATACTCATTAGGAAAAATGAGATAACTTTTTGCATTTCTTGCTTTAAACCTAAAAATGTAGACGATTTTTACTAACTTGAAACGGAAAGAAACTACTTCCTTCTGATGGTATTGATATGTTTGTTTTAATTTTAAAAAATAGTTTGTTTGTTTTTTCAAAAATAAATTTATAAAAATATTTTTTTTTAAATATTATAAATTTTTATATTTATTTTTTTTAAATTGAAAATATTATTTTTGACATTCTATAATGTAAACATTATTAGTATCAATGCACTTAAGTGAATGAGGAGTAAGAAAGAAGAGAGAAGAGAATGAAAGGTGATTATATTAAATTGTTAACTCTGAATTATTCTATACATATAAATAGATAAGTAGGCTACTTGTAACTCAAGTAACTAATCATAACAAGCAAACTAACTTGCTAACCAAGTAACTAACTAACTTGAATTATATCACATCATACCTCCTTATAATTCAAGTTGCTAAACACAAGCTAATTGATTTGAACTATTCTTAATTTTTTTCTCAAAGTTAGGAATCTGTCGATCTTCAATCCTTGGTGAAAATGTCGGTTAACTGTGCTTCACTTGAGCAATGTTTCACTTCAAGTTCACCTTGATTTACCCTTAGGAAGTGAAATATAGTTTCAATGTGCTTACTCTTTTCATGCATAACTGAATTCTTTACAAGATTGATGGCTGACTTATTGTCGATCTACAACATCAAAGGTTTCTTTACTTCAACCTATATCTTATCCAACACAGATCTGATCCAGATTGCTTGACAATCAGTATAGAATTCTGCTATATACCCAGCCTCACACGATGATAATGCCACCGCAGGTTGCTTTCTCGAGCACCATGAGATTAGGGCACCAAATAATTGAAAGAAATAATCAGATGTGCTTCTTTGATCTTCCTTATCTCCACGCCAATCAACATCTAAATAGTAATTAATCACAGTTCTTTGCTTTCAGAATATCTTGGAAACAAAATTCCACAATTGATTGATCCTTTTAGGTATCTCAAGATTCTTCTTGCAACATTCATGTGTGACACATTTGGTTCATTCATGTATCTGCTTACCAATTGGATTGATCTATATCAGGTCTATTATTGCACACATACCTCATAAATCCTACAACTTGTTTGGACAAAGTGACATCACTTTGTCTTACTTTCCACGCTTCTCTAGTTTCAGATTAGGTTCGACAGGTGAGGATGCATAATTTGAATCATCCATCCTAAATCTCTTGAGTATTTCTTTGACATACTTCATTTGATGTAACATCATACCTTTCTTGGTAATTTGAAAATTTCATGCCTAAGAAATACGATAAGTTTCCCATATCCAATATTTCAAATTCCCTCTTCTTTAGCTTCTTGGACTTCGACAAATTCTTTATGATATTTCTAATTACTAGTAAGTCATCGACATATAAGCAGATGATGATTATATCTTGTGACATGTCCTATACATAGATACCATACTCAGACTTGCATTTGATGAATCCAAATTCGACTAAGTATGAGTTGATTTTCTTATTCCATACCTTAAGTGCTTGTTTGAGACCATAAAGGACTTTATGCAACTTGTACACTTTCTTTGCTTCCTCCTGTATCACAAACCCAGAAGGTTATGTGACATACACGACTTTATCTATGGGACCATTCAAAAATGTTAATTTCACATCTAAGTGAAATGTCAACCAACCTTGCTTGCATGTTGAGGCTACCACCAATCTGACAGTCTCCAATATTGCTATTATTGCATATACTTCTGAGTAGTCAAGTCTTACTCTCTAAAGAAATCCTCAAGCTAATAGTCTTGCCTTATGTCTTGCAATTGACTCATCAGGATTGTGCTTTAGCTTGAACACCCACTTCACTTTGATAGCTTTTGTGTGTGTTGGCAATTTGACTAACTCCCATGTATTGTTTCTCTTCGACCATATCATCCTTCCAGTGTTTATTCTTTAAGGTGTCACTGTAGTTGATTGGTTTAGCACCTGCAAGTAAAGAGAAATGAACCAAATCTCCATCTGGTGTGACTTTATTATCACCAACCACTTCACAATCTTGAGCCTTGCTGGGAGAACTTGGCTTCTTTGAGGTCTTTGGCTTGTGCTAGCCACAACCTCTTTATTGTCTGATTCACCTTTGGCTGTGAATCGAATGTCAATAACTTGATTTTCTTCATGCTCATTACTTTCTTCATCAATGCCATAGCTCATCAATGGCTTGTTAGTTGCATCACCTGAATTACAATCTCAGACAGAGTTCTCATCAATTACAATATCTTAACTCACCATGGTCTTATGATTCATTGGATTGAATAGTCTGTATGCTCTTGTCTTATGATATCCTACCAGAATCATAAGTTCACTCTTATCATCAAGATTCCTTCTCCTAGCATCAGGAACATGCTTAAATCAAATATATTCAAACACTTTCAGATGACTCACTGATGGTCGTTTTCCACTCCATACTTCTTTAGGAACCTTGTTCTTCAGTTTCTTGGTAGAGCACCTGTTCAAAATATAAACATATGTAGTAACTGCTTGACCCCATAAGGATTTGGCAAGTTCTTTTGTTTCAATATGCATCTTACCATATCCAACATTGCTCGGTTTCTTATTCCTGCTATTTCATTATGTTGAGATGTGTAAGGAGAAGTTACCTCGTGATCAATAACATGTTCTGCACAAAATCCTTCAAATATTTTGAATGTGTATTCGCCACCTCTGTCTGTTCGCATAATCTTGATCTTCTTTTCACTCTAGTTTCGA